CCGCTACCACTTACTCCACCCAACCTCCCCTTCTTCCTTCTCCACTTTACCTACCTACCTTCCTCTCCCTACCACCCCTTACTTTTTTTTGTAGGGAAAGGAGGAATGAAGAAAGATTAGAGGTGGGGGAAGGAAGTTATAGTTCGGAAATTGAAGAAATTCAGGAGGAGGTAAGAGAGGGCGGGCTGACCACCTAGCTAAGCTAATAGTGTGTTTGGGTTGTGTCATGGGTTAGTTATTGTCTGCCGGTACAGGCACTAGACAGCCTACCCTGTCCCATTTATGGGTGTTTTAAGGGCCTTATTTCATATTCCGCCGACCCTACTGGCGGATGCTGGTCTAGGGAGGTCCCCTTACTCCTGTCCCATCTCTCCACCCAACCTCCTCTCCCTACCTACCTACCTACCTACCTACCTACCTACCTACCTACCTACTTACCTACCTCTCCTCCCTCCTTCCCTACCTACCTACCTACCTACCTACCTACCTACCTCTCCTCCCTCCTCCCTACTTACCTACCTACCTACCTACCTCTCCTTCCTCCTTCCCTACCTACCTACTTACCTACCTCTCCTCCCTACTTCCCTACCTACCTCTCCTCCCTTCCTCTCCTCCCTACTTCCCTACCTTCCTCTCCTCCCTTCCTCTCCTCCCTACCTACCTCTCCTCCCTAACATAAGAACATAAGAATGGAGGAAACTGCAGCGGGCCTATTGGCCCATACTGAGCAGTCCCGTTTACACCCAACCCCTTTCGCTCATATATCCATCCAACCCATGTTTGAAGCTATCCAGCGTATTCGAGTTAATGATGATGTTTGGTAACTTGATCCACTCATCCACTACTCTATTTCCAAACCAATGTTTACCTATCTCGCGCCTAAATCTATATTTGTCTAATTTAAAACCATTGTTGCGAGTTCGCTCATGGTTGGATAGTTTGAGTACTTTCGTTAAATCACCGTTGTTTAGCCCTGACTTCCATTTATACACCTCGATCACGTCGCCCCCTCACTCTACTGTAGGTCTTTCGAGGGAGTGCAAATTAAGATGCTTCAATATGTTTCTGTACTCAAGTTCCTAATGCCCGGGATTAGTCTTGTCATTCTCTCCTTGAATTCTTTCCAGGGATTCTATATCCATTCTGTAATACGGTGACCAGAACTGAGCTGCGTAATCCAAGTGAGGTCTCACAAGCGCAAGATATAGTTTTAGGATGACCTCGCTAGTCTTGTAATTAACACACCTTTGTATGAACCCAAGTACTTTGTTAGTCTTGTTTTGAGCAAATGCACAATGTTTACCTGGTTTAAGATTCCCACTTATCATTACTCCTAATCTTTCTCACAGTCGGATTTCTCTATAACATTGTTGTTCATCTGATATCTGGTTTCTCCGTTTGCATCTCCTTGAGTCCCCTGACTAAGTACTTTACATTTGTCCACATTAAATTTCATCTGCCATTTTTCAGACCATTCGAAAAATATGTTTAGATCTTCCTGTAGTTTTGTGGAGTCCACATCAGATTTAATTATACGCCCTATTTTAGTGTCATCAGCAATTTTTAGTGTCATCCATTGTCGGGGAGGAGTGGGCGATGGTTGGTGACATGCCTTGCACTCCTCACCAGCACACTCCTGAGATATTAAGTTTAATGACCCGTCTCTCCTGTACACACCTTCCCAGCGCCCCTGGATACGTTAATCTCCGCCTCCTACCCTTCCTCTCTCTCACACCTGGGGTCACTATCACGACCGGCGGGTGACTGCAATTCCTTCCTTCCTTCCTTCATTCCTTCCTTCTTTGCTGTCGCCGTGCTGCTGTACTGGGGTCCAGGCCAACGACTAGCCGTCATGGTACTGTACCGTTTATCACAATTAAGTGAGGGAGTGTGTTGGAGGTGTCCTGTCTCTCCCTCTGGCTGAACCCTCCTGTAGTAGTGACCATATAATCAACTCAGTCACCTGCAGACATGGAGAGGCACATCACCTGCAGATGACCTAGCCAGCTCTTGTAGCAGTAATGGTGGCCTGGAGGGTGAGGGAGGCCAGGTGTGTGTGTGGTTGATAACTTGATGCACTGAATTAAGAGATTGGTTGTCACTCGGGTAGCTTTATTGATGCCAGATAGTTAGACGCCAAGCCAGGTAGACGCCTGATATACGCCAGGTGAGCGCCAGGCCAGGTAGACGCCTGATATACGCCAGGTGAGCGCCAGGCCAGGTAGACGCCTGATATACGCCAGGTGAGCGCCAGGCCAGGTAAGATAACACCAGCGTAGATCGCATGACAACCTGAGCGCCACGATTAACGCTGACACAGGTAACGGATGTGATTACTGACGGGCGGCGGGGGGATGGAGACAGCTGTTGTCAGTACTATGCGGGGCTATTGTCGAGGGGTGAGGGCAGGTGTTTAAGTCAGGGGTGGCTGGGGGGAGGAGTGAGGGCTGGTATGTAGGTCATGGGTGGTTGGAGAGGGGTGAGGGCTGGGGTGGCTGGAGGGAGGGATGAGGGCAGTGTAGGCTCAGGGGGTGGCTGAGAGAGGTGAGGCAGGTGGTTGGAGGGAGGGGGTGAGGCAGGGGTGGGGTTGGAGGGAGGGGTGAGGCAGGTGGCTGGGAGGGAGGGGTGAGGCAGGGGTGAGAGTAGGGGTGTGTAGGCTGGGGGTGGTTGAGGGGGAGAGGAGGGCAGGAGGGCTGGAGGAGGGGTGAGGCAGGGTGGCTGGAGGGAGGGGGAGGGCAGGGGTGGCTGAGGGAGGGGAGGGGTGAGGCAGGGGTGGCTGGAGGGGAGGTGAGGACAGGGAGGGGAGGAAGGTTGGAGGGAGGGGTGAGGGAGGGGTTGGAGGACAGGGGTGGACAGGGGTGGAAGGAGGGAGGGGGAGGGGTGGTTGGGAGGGAGGGGTGAGGACAGGGTGGTTGGAGGTGGGGAGGCAGGGCTGGTGAGGACAGGGGTGGTTGGAGGGGCAGGCAGGTGGTTGGAGGGGAGGGGTGAGGACAGGGGTGGCTGGAGGAGGGGTGAGGGCAGGGGTGGTTGGAGGGAGGGGTGGAGGGGTAAAAGGAGGGAGGGGTGAGGGCAGGGGTGGCTGGAGGGAGGAGGGGGGTGGACAGGGGCAGGCTGGAGGAGGGGTGAGGGGTGTGGAAGGTGAGACGGGTGGTTGGAGGGAGGGGAGGGCAGGGGTTGGCTGAGGGGAGGGGTGAGGGCAGGGGGTGGAGGGAGGGGTGAGGACAGGGGTGGTTGGAGGGAGGTGGAGGACAGGTGGTTGGAGGACAGGTGGTTGGAGGGGAGGGAGGAGGACAGGGGTGGTTGGAGGAGGGGTGAGGCAGGGGTGGTTGGAGGGAGGTGAGGACAGCTGGAGGGAGGGGGAGGGGCAGGGGTGGGCTGGGAGGGAGGTGAGGCAGGGGCTGGGTTGGAGGGAAGGTGAGGACAGGTGGTGGAGGAGGGGGAGGACAGGGGTGGTTGGAGGAGGGGTGAGGGGACAGGGGTGGCTGGAGGGAAGGGTGAGGACAGGGTGCTGGAGGGGAGGTGAGGACAGGGGTGGCTGGAGGGAGGGGTGAGGCAGGGTGGTTGGAGGAGGTGAGGACAGGGGCTGGAGGGGAGGGGTGAGGGCAGGCTGGCTGGAGGGAGGGGTGAGGGGCAGGGTGGCTGGAGGGAGGGGTGAGGCAGGGGTGGCTGGAGGGAGGGGTGAGAGACAGGTCAGGTTGAGGTGGCTGGAGGAGGAGGAGGCAGGAGTGGCTGGAGGGTGAGGCAGGGGTGGAGGGAGGCAGGAGGGGGGCAGGGGTGGCTGGAGGGTGGAGTGGAGGTGGAGGTGGGGTGAGGAGGGGTGGTTGAGGACAGGGGTGGTTGGAGGGAGGTGAGGGGCAGGGGTGGTTGGAGGGATGTGTGGGCTGGAGGGGTGAGGGACAGGCATGGAGGAGGTGAGGGCAGGGGGTGGCTGGGTGGAGGGAGGGCAGGGAGGGCAGGGAGGGGTGGGCAGGGGTGGCTGGAGGGAGGGGTGAGGCAGGTGGCTGGAGGAGGTGAGGGGCAGGTGGCTGGAGGGAGGTGAGGGCAGGGGTGGTTGAGGAGGTGGAGGGAGAAGGGGAGGGGTGAGGACAGGGGGTGGTTGGAGGAGGAGGAGGGGCAGGAGTGGCTGGAGGGAGGGTGAGGGCAGGGGGGTTGGAGGAGGTGAGGGCAGGCTGGTTGGAGGGGTGGGGAGGGGTGAGGGGCAGGGGTGCTGAGGGAGGGGTGAGGCAGGGGTGGTTGGAGGGAGGGGTGAGGGCAGGTGGCTGAGGAGGTGAGAGTAGGTGTGCAGGTCAGGGGTGGCTGGGAGGAGGAGTGAGGGCAGGAGTGGTTGGAGGGAGGGGAGGCAGGGGTGGTTGGAGGGAGGTGGGCGGTGTGGCTAACTCTAAATATCTGAAACAAAATTTTGTATTAGAATTGAATCCTAAGGAAATTACTCTCTATATGAAGGGGGGTAATACCCCCATTCATTTATGAGTAATTAATTATTTACTCTTTCACTATCAATTGAACGGTCATCGAGTTCTCTGTAGCGACACACACACACACACACACAGGAGCATTTATTTATCTATTTCGCTTTATTTTGGTTAATGGGGTTCGCTACTCGAAATTATATCTACAGTATATATAGACTCATGACTGTGGGTGTGCGCGCACGTTAAATTAACTCAGTTCCCGGAAATCCTTTTATGTGTGTTTTTTTTAGTAGATAGTGAGTGGCTTTGTGAAGCTTTCGTGCCGCTAGTCTCGTGTATCCAGTGTCTCTGCCATTAACACACATATATACTGGAAAACTGTAGACTCACCGATGGTTAAAGTGGAAGCATTATTATTTTATCACCAGAATCAATGTTCTCAAATTGTTTTTCATTTGTGTGTAAAATAGTTATTGCGGTCCACCTGATGCTGTAATATCTAGATTAAATCACCAAGTGGGAATTACTGTACCTATATTTTGTATATAAATCTGAACTTATACTGAATTTATTATTTTATCATTGCAGTTTTGTTGGGAGGTGGTGAGCGACTAGTGACAGCAGTACGTTAAGGTAGGTCCCCAATGTCAGATTCAGATTTGTCCCCAGGGGGCTAGTTTATTGGGCACCCCCTTACATCCTGTGCAAGGTGAAGCGCAGAAGCGTTTACAGCGCCCAACAGGGAAGTATGAAAAGTTCATACTTGCTTTTATGACTCGTACATTAAGGGCGTAAAAGCCTGAAGGGTCATAGGTTCTGTCAAGTTACATAAAGTGAGAGAATGATGAGTGTGTGGGGGGAAAGTTCCCGGTACATTTTATCTGTTTACATTTTATCTGGGCAAAGAGTGGCAGGTCCCTAATAATGTCAAATGCCAGGCCTGTGACTAGGAGGAGGGATATCTGGTCTGGGAGGGAAGAGGTGTTGGTAACGGCTGGGGACCTATAGGAGGAGGTCATAGGGCAAGTGAGGATGTACTGTAGTGAGAGAGGGTGTGAGAGTCGGGTTGGCCACAAATTTACAAACAGTGCGGTGAGGCTCAGGGTTGCCAATGTACTCCCATAGGTACCTGTACCCTTGGCGCAGTCTCATGTATATAAGCTGTTGAGATCGAGTCAGGGATTGATATTCTTTGTAGTGGCGGTTGTCGTCACCGGTTACAGCGTCATAGTGGCATAGTGTGACGCTACCCCGTTGTTTCAGGTGTGTCCAATTTTCGTTGAATGACTCTCGTTGTGTGGGTCCCCAATGTGTGTGTCGACCAGTCAGGAAATATATTATGAACTGGGTGATCCAGTTTTTGTGATCGTGAGAGAGACTGTTAGTGTCATTGCCTGTCTGTGTGAGTACTCGAGGAAAATTGTCTGTGTAATCACTTGAATGTTAAACCCCTGAGTACATGTCTGTGTAATTCCTGGTACAGAATAACCACTACAGGAAGGTCTCGTAGGAAGGTGACTACAGGACTGTTGATCTTGGCCGGGATCACCTCCTGGCGGCCGACACCCATGGCAGGGGTTAGGAACTGGCTGTATAACACACACAGATGCTGGACTGACGGATGATGATGATGGTTGTTGTTGTTGTTGTTGTTGTTAATGCTGTTCTTGCGTTTATTAGACTTTATTTTTGCTGTTACTTTTTATTATGGTGGTTGTTGTTGATGATGATGATGCTATATTTGTTGGTATTGTTGCCATCCGTTAATGAAACAAGAGTGTAGGTGGTACATTCTCACGCTTCTATTCTAGTTGTAATTGGATCAACTTGAACACTGGTTCCTGATTGGCTTGACAACTCTGGTCATGATTGGTTGAGCTTGTCGAGCACAAACACGTGATTGACTGAGCTTGTCGAGCACAAACACGTGATTGGTTGAGCTTGTCGAGCACAAACACGTGATTGGCTGAACTTGTCGAGCACGTGATTGGGGGAGTTTGTCGAGCACAAACACGTGATTGGGGGAGCTTGTCGAGCACAAACACGTGATTGGTTGAGCTTGTCGAGCACAAACACGTGATTGGTTAGACGGCGAATGAAGCCCAATAGTCTGTTCCTGTGAGATTCGTACCACGGTGATGATGATGATGGCGTGTGTGGGTGGCGAGATGAAGGCGGTGTTCTATGTATGTATGGATGTATAAATGTGTGCCTGTATATTTATGTATGTTTGACTGTATTGTATGTACAGTATGTAGGCTGCTTCAATAAACAGGATGTAAACCTTACATAATGAAGTCCTGAATGTACCTTTCTAACCGGGTACTAATTACTGTAATGTAGTACCTGTGTAACTCTCTCTTTCTCTCTCTGATGTGTTAATACTTAAATCTTGACATGAGTAGGGTTACTTTTAATATCAAGGAGTTTATTAACCTTTTATATAAGTATTTGAATAAGACTTAAATTTTCACACTATCACTTTTCTTCAGTTTATTACTTAAAGATTTCCCCATAAGTAATTTATCCATTTAAGGAATTTAATTTCATTAGATAGTAAATTTCAAGAACCGAGAAAGTTGTTGTGTCGTGTGATGGAACAGCTGTTTGAGTGAGTGAGTGCGTCCATTGTTGTTGTTGTGTTGTGGTGGCTGGGTTGATTGGCGCGAACTGGGGCAAACATTTTTCGAGTCACTGGTGGACTGAGGGAGAAGAATCAGTGAACTTGATGGCTGCTTGGATAAAAATACCCACTACAACGTTTCTCTTCTGATAAACTTTATAAACATCTTGGGTCAGTTTGTAGTTTCGACCAACCACTGAATTTTTTGATGAGAAATACGTCATCCAGTGGTTTAGACCAGTGTTCCCCAACCTTTTCAACACTGGGTCAGTTCTCAGCACCTCTAAATTCTTTGGTCATATATAAAGTTATCATAAAAATGATACATTTAATTGGAAAAATCATACTTCTGTATAAGTGTACACTACAAGTACATTACAATAAGTTGCATTTACACTTACTGTACAAAATACAAAATAATAAACACTTACACATACATTTAATTTGTGCAGCCACGCCTCATCACAAACTACATATGGCATTGGATACTTTCAGTGTGATTTTTGTTGCTGGGTAGATGCAGCAAGCAAGTTGAATCGTGGGTCAATATTTCTTGTCGCACCCACTTTTTTTAACCTAATTTCTGCTATTATTTGACTCTTATATACGTTTCCACATTATGTGTGTGGTCTCTCCCCCCCCCCCTCCCCCCAAGGTTGGGGCCCCTAGGCACGCGCCTCATGTGCCTATTGGGAAATCCGCCACTGCACAGAATATAGCAAAATTGACTTGTTCACTTATTTTTGTGGGTCACAATGTCGGTCACAGCACCTGGTCATAGTACCTGGTCACAGTAGTCTGTCGGGTCACACTAGTAGATGGTTTGGGTCACAGGGTTGGGGAACACTGGTTTAGACAATTTTAAGACACTTTTCTTCTTTGACGTTTCCCTAACAAATGGCTTACATATACCGGGGGATCCAGGCCGATTAGGTTAGGTTAAGTATTTTTAGATCAATTGCGAGAGAAACGTAATAGAAGAAAAGTGTCTTGAAATTATATAAACCACCGGATGACGTATTTATCATAAAAAAATTCAGTGGTTGGTCGAAACTACAAATTGACCACATGTTGATTTAGTTTATTTATTGGACACAAAACATATTCAGTGAATCTCCAACCACCTGGCAGAAGAGTCTCCCACCTCTGTCGCCTGTTGTCAATGAGAGAAAACTGGTAATAACTCAAAATACCTAAAGAAAAATGTATCAACCATCGAAGTCCAGGTACTATTCTAAGCCTCTCTATATTACAATACATGTTTGTTCATTAACTAAAACTGTGAGAGGTGAAGTTAAGTTAGGTTGGTGGAGCTCATTTAGTTAGGTTAGTTAAGGTCAAAGTTGTTAGATGAAATATTATGTATATCCATAATCATCCGACCTTAAAAATCCTGTTGCTGATATAAACAAATACATCTTGTTGATATTTACCTCAGAGATTCTGTTAAGGTAGAGTGAAGGAGCTAACCTGTGCAAGGGCCTCCCTCACCTGTTAATCTTTACTGTGATTTAGACGTCATATACACGTATTTCTCTCTCTCTCTCTCTCTCTCTCTCTCTCTCTCTCTTGTAATCATAAAAGTATAAACAGCTCCCACTTGTTGACGGCGTCATAAAGGCGCCAGAACAGATTTGGACGTTTTGTTTTTCCATAACACAAGTTCAGGTCCTACAGTAAGCCCATGGTGCAGTTATGCTAATGGCAGCAGTATTGTAGACATGCCGCCTTCTTAAACAATCATTGAATGGGCGGAGAAGTGGTTTCGTTTTTATCATTAATCGTAGTACAGTGCAGTACAGTATATGGGATTGAAGGTACAGTGCAAACACACAGTAGCCTCATCCCGCCGCCTGCAACGACATGGCCGCCACACAAATCCCTAATCTGAATTCCCTGCCAGAAACCCTAACGTCTACAGAACCAGTGACTGACAACACATTTAACAAACAACGGGAGTCTATAATGGGTGCTACTATAGTAGGCGGTCTACCAGGATGTTTACACCAGCGTCTATTAACCCAACCTAACCTAACCTAACCTAACCTAACCTAACTCCAGCTCGGTAGACCGCATACTATAGTAGCAGCCTGTAATCTGTTGTAATTTCCCTGTATTGTTTCGTCATCTTTCTGCTTCAACTTTTTTTTTGTTAGGTTCGAAAGTTTGAATGAACTGTTTGTTGCTTGTCATTCAAGGCACTTTATGTAAGGAGAGAGTGAGTGAGTGAGTGGGTCGTCTTGTGGTGCATTGGTCCGTGCTTCATCCACCCTGACAAGAGACGAACCTGTGGCCTGCACCTGCCCGTCAGTCCGCCCTGCCGCCCATCCAACCCCACCCACTCCACCCTCCGTCCTCCAACAAGCCACCCAGCACCCTCACCACTATATGTACTCACCCTGTGCTACCTGTTGTTGTTGTTTAATACAAGCGGCCCCCAGCAACGCCACCTACAGCGCCTCCTACAAGTTAGCTGGCTCCCAGATGCCGACTAACTATCACTGCCAGGTTTGAGAGTTTGGGCAATGGTGGAGTGAGTCTTAACCATGGACATGATGTGGGCCACTCACATGAAACCACATGTTGAAAGTGGTATAGTGTGTACTGGTGGAAGTGTTTGGTATGGTGGTGTGATGTGATGGAGGTGTAGTGTGTAGAGGTGGAAGTGTGTGGTATGGTGTTGTGGTGGATGGGAGTGTAGTGTGTAGAGGTGGAAGTGTGTGATGTGTGGTAGGGTGGTGTGAGAGTGTGGTATGGTGTGGTGTGCAGCATGGTATGGTGTCATGGAAGTGTGGAGCGTGTGGTTCAATGTGGTATAAGTGTGTGGTGTGTGTTACGATGTTTAAGTGTGTGGCATGTAGTTTGGTATGGAATGTGTAGTAAATTGCACATATGAATCATACACCCACCCATTGGGCTTTCATGACCATCACTTATAACAATGTCGGGTTAAGTCATGGTTAGGTCAGGTTAAGTCATGGTTAGGTCAGGTCAAGTCATGGTTTGGTAAGGTCAAGTCATGGTTTGGTAAGGTCATGTTAATGTACGTTAGGTCAGCTTAGGTTATGTTCTTTAATGTAACTGAGGCGCGTGCTGGTAATAGTGGTGAAAACCTGCCACTACTGCCACCACTTGTAATAATGTGAAATATTCTTTTGGAATTTGCCTTTATTAACTGAATGGCGGTAGGCAATAGAGACGCTTCCCACAAGGGTTGGTGGTGGAGAGAGAGTTAAAAATTAATGAATTATGAGTACTAGAGATGTTGTTCTGTTTGGATGCTGTAGTGTAACAGTGTGAGGTGGTAGAGGTGGCAACAGTCCGTTAGTCAGTCCCGTTGGCCAGACCTCCGGCGGCAACCTGCAAACCTGTTGCCTTAATCACCCACACTACTACTACCATCATCGTCTGTGCCACCAAGATCACCATCACCACCTGTGCCACCAATGCCACCGCCACCAATGCCACCACCACCACCTGTGCCACCAATGCCACCACCACCAGTGCCACCAATGCCACCACCACCACCTGTGCCACCATCACCACAACACCTCTACCAACACCCACAAATGATTGTATACCTGTACTTGTCTGTGTATACAAACTGAAACAATGTAAACTTGAATGACGATCATACTAAACAAGTCTCTCTCTCTCTCTCTCTCTCTCTCTCTCTCTCTCTCTCTCTCTCTCTCTCAAACATACACTATACACCGCCAAACATACATTCTATAAATACACAAACACATCGCTTGAGAATTTCAATTGTTTTTTTCGTTTGTGTTATTCCTTTAATATGCAAATTTATTTATAAGACAATGGTGGTTATTGAGAGAGAGAGAGAGAGAGAGAGAGAGACTGGTGGATAGCTAAGATCTGTTATCACCACCCACCCGCCTCCCACCACAACCAACCACCCGCCACCCACGACCATCCACTCACTCTACCGCCCACTCCTCCACCCACCGCCCATAATCACTCGTCCTACTCCTCACTTCTCTCTCTCGTGTCTACAATAGGAGTGATTATTTGTGAGATGATAATATTTGAGTCCTGGGTGTTGAGTTGAAGGTCGCCTCCCCCCGTGTGCTCCCTCAAGTATAGTGATAAAGGTTGTGAGAATATCCATCCACCTACCCACCCATCTCTATTCACGCCCTCCATCCAACTCCCCTCCAGCTCACCCTCCCTCCCCCAACCTTACCTGTGTTTTATTATGTATTTTAATTTAATGGGTAGATGACATATCGACTCTGTTCATTGATCCAGTTAAACTAGTTCGTATCACACACACACACACACACACACACATACATGTACTCCATACACACATAATTATCACCTGCATGAGAGAATTGCCTCACCGATAACCGTAACACCTGAATACAGAATTATCACATCATCACGCCCCCCCCCCCTCATGTTGTAACCGTATTGTGATCATAACTATAATGAGGTTATACTCGAGTACTATCAAAGTCTACAACCCTCCCCTTTCTTGTTTATTGTTGATGTAAATTCTTGTGTGTGTGTGTGTGTGTGTGTGTGTGTGTGTGTGACTGACGGCGGCGACAGTGGCGGCGGCGAAGGAGGATTAACCTTGGGAGGTATGAGGCTATGGGAGTAAATCCAGAAAAAAAAAATCTTTGGTGAAGCCCCGCATCAGGCAGACATGCTTCAACAAGACCCCAACGGCGGAGAGGTGACCACAATGGAAACCCAATAACTACACCGGCAGACGAAGGCATTGCATGATGGACAGGCTACTAAGGTGAGAACCAACAAACTGGGCTATCGGCAGTCCATTGCAACTCTCCTCTCCCCAGTCGTTGCAACACTTGTACCTCGGGATCAGGAAAAAGGAGAGCCAAGATGTTTGGTTGCAGCCTGCACCCCTGCCTCACCACATAAATCAACTCCCATGCAGCCATCATCCAACTCATGATCATAAAAACACCTATACCCCCAAAAGTTCGATGGCGACGGACGAGTGGCGATGGGGACAGACAGAGATGACTGCCGGGAGTCTCTATCTCAACTCTGCACGGGTGGAATCTAGGCAGCAGTGCAATCCGGTCATGTCTGTGCGATTGAGTAGCCCTCTCGAGGACCCAATCTGCTCACCGCACATGGGGAGGGGGCTAGAAAAGGTGCCCTAAACATAGCCTGCCTAAAGAACCAACCTGACTGAGCAACTGCACCCAGTAAGGCCATCCTTATGCGGTCGAAAAAACAATAATCACAGATTCAAACAAAAGCAAACTATACAACCTGTTATGGTCGCTGCATGGAATGTCAAAACCCTTTTGGATACTGGCACAAATGAGCGTCCTGAAAGAACTGCCCTTTTGGCAAAAGAGCTGACTGGGTATAACATCGACATAGCAGCCATTAGTGAGTCCCGGCTCCCAGATGAGGGTCGACTCACAGAACGGGGGTCTGGTTATACGTTCTTCTGGAAGGGTAAGGCTGCTGCGGTCAGGTATGTGTAAGATTATCACAGGTAGACCCTCACCACTCCTCTACTAAGGATTAATTTATTCTGGTAAACCATGAAGTAAGTTGAAGCCTCATGGAAATAATATGCAGTATACTCGCTCACGTGTCTCGTAACACTGTACAAGTGTTCATGGTTTATTTTTGAGGTGAAGGTAACTGGGATAATAAATCATTCATATTGACCTTGTGGAGACTTACTCCTCTATCCCAGACTGATGATACACAACACATCCTCACTACAGAACCCGTGATGCAGGTCATGGGGTGAAGGTGATAAGTCTCTCTCTCTCTCTCTCTCTCTCTCTCTCTCTCTCTCTCTCTCTCTCTCTCTTGTCCGGGACCAACACCGTTTCTCACTCGCTTCTACCTGGTGTTACTCGCTGGTGAAGTGGGGGACGGGGCAGTAAGGGTTGCACGCTGTATACTGTTTTACTTTCAAGTTTCTGTCTTATAAATATTGTGTTTTTAATATCCACAATTTACACACACACACACACACACACACACACACACACACACACACGCACGCGCGCGCGCGCACCGGAAACTGTATACATAACCAGTCCTATTTTGACCCTGGTTGTGTCGCAGGAGTCAAGTTGTGAGCTGTAGCATGGATAATATCCACCAACACTATATAAAGATGATGATAATGGCCGGATGTGCGTCAAAATAAGTTCCCGCAGTTGAAGGTCAGACTGAGAAAGAAGCCTTGGGATGTGTGGCTCGGTTTATGCCCAATTTTGTCTATACTTCCCTTATGTCTACATTTTAAATGTCAAGCATATTCCCAAAATGTCTTTACTGTCAGTTTATGATGACCTAACCTAACCTTATTCAACCAAACCTAATCCACACGATTAAGAACATAAGAATGGAGGAAACTGCAGCGGGCCTATTGGCCCATACTGAACAGTCCCATTCACACCCAACCCCTATTGCTTATATATTCATCCAACCTACTGTATATTTGACGCTATCCAGTGTATTCTATTTAATGATGATGCTTGGTAACTTGTTCCATTCATCCACTACTCTATTTCCAAACCAATGTTTACCTATTTCGCGCCTAAGTCTAAATTTGTCTAATTTAAAACCAATGCTACGAGTTCGCTCCTGGTTAGATAGTTTGAGTTCCTTTCTTATATCACATTTGTTTAGCCCTGACTTCCATTTATACACCTCTGTCATATCGCCCCTCACTCTACGTCTCTCGAGGGAGTGCAAATTAAGATGCTTTAACCTGTCTCTTTACTCAAGGATCCTAATGCCCGGGATTAGTCTTGTCATTCTCCTCTGAATTCTTTCTAGGGATTCTATATCAATTCTGTAACCCGGTGACCAGAATTGAACTGCGTAATCCAAGTGAGGTCTCACAAGCGCAAGATATAGTTTTAGGATGACCTCTCTAGTCTTGTAACAAACACTCTTTTTATGAACCCAAGTACTTTATTAGCCTTGTTTCGAGCAAATACACATCGTTTACTTGGCTTAAGATTCCTACTTCTAAATCTTTATTACATTCGGATTTCTTTATAACATCGTTGTTCATCTAGTTTCTCTGTTTACATCTCCTAGACTAAGGTGTTTGATAGAGATACTGTAGAAGTGTAGAGGATACACCCTCTACACCCTCCTTAAGCTTTTCCTCACGATTTTTGAATTCAGGTCAGGGTGGTGGTGGTGGTGGCGGCGATGGCGATGGTGGTAAGCATTATAGCATGGGAAGCGTTAGTTTATTGGGAGAGCCGTTGAGATGAGGTGGTGGGAGGTGTACTGTTCCTGGGAGAAATAGAGTACGGCCGTCAAGTGTGCGTGTGTGTACTTAACCAGCAACACAAGGAAGGAAGCAGTGAGTACAACATGATCGTTTTTCTCACAACTAAACACACCATCACCATAGAGGAAGGTTGTGGTGTTATGTTTTAGCCCGTCGTCAATACTCGATGTTATTATTCACAACCACGAACCCCCGAGAGATTCAGAATCATGAATCCGAAGCATCTATGAACAGAAAACTGTATCAGTCTATTGCTGTACCTGGTCTTGGGTATGAAGAGTTAACCCTATAATCTAAACATCAGAATCACTTGTGCCTTATCAGCCCCGTTAAGATGTTCTTAGTCACATTGTTATTGTCCCTGGCGTGGTAATCACTTGTCAATAAATGGTAATGTTTTTTATTGTATCATATTTCAGTTATTCATTATCCATTTATTTCTGTATATTGTAGTTGTATTTATTGCCCCGGTCATTGCTCCGTGTGTCAGCCCTTGGGAGTCGACGAGCTTTATTGTCTCCTGGCAAGACTTGTTCTGATTCTGTGATAATGATTACCTTACTTGGCGGTTCACAGTATGTCTTTAAATGACTGCGTACATGTTATCATCCACTCAGTCGCCTCTGTGGCATCATGGAGTAGTAGTCTTATTATGTCCCTCAGCGTCCCCCAGGGCGAGGGCGGAG